TTGTTGTCCTCTTTTCTCAAAACGATTTGCCAGATTTGGACTCTTTGGTTCAGATTAAGAACCGTGACACAAATCGAGTTCGAACTGTAGTGAGGCCCACACGGGCGCGTCTATAGCTTCTAGCGACTCTCCTGGGGACTTAGAGAGCTTGACTCGAACTCGCGCGTCTATAGTTTCTGGCGACTCTGCTGGGGACTTAGAGAGCTTGACTGGAACTCATGATATCCTATTTTGATTTCATTTATGTGTCTCTTTGCATTGCATGCGCATAGGTGCGCCTAGGAACACAGTGTTTGCCATCTGCTATTCCTGAACGGTTTGCCGGAGGCTTGTCTTGTCAAGGCATGACCATAAGGCTGACCGGTTATGGGCTCTGACAGTATGGGAACACAAACCCCGGTTTTTCACCGGGGCACCCTTTTGACCATTCGACCTAGTGCATATTCGGATCCATAGTGACCATTCCAAGTTAGGACAAGTTGTTTACCCGATTATAGGTTGTTTGAAACTGCCGCGTGCATAGTGAAGCCCTAGCTCCTGACAAAATAGGACAGGGAAACCCTACCCCAACATAGGGGTGTTTTGGTTCTCACTTATCTGCTATGTGCTTTAGAGTGTATCTCTACAGGAACGTACATACCAGTTTGCAAGTTTGAGTATCGGGCCCGAGGGCACCAGTATCAGTGTTGCTGAGAATCAGTTATCTGCGGGTATCAGGTTCAGTTTTGGGGACAGTGATGGTAAGCTTCCATGTGTCATTTTTCTCAATGGCATGAATTTCTTCATCCATTTCTTTCTCCCATTTATCTTCTTGGATGGCTTCTAAGAAGGTAAGTGGATCACTATCTACAAGTTGGCAGAACAAATTCAAATCTGCTTCTTCTGTAGCTTCATATATCTCCTGCAAATTTCTCATTGGTCTTGGTTGTTTGAAAAAACTATCATCTGATGATGCTAATGCTGATGATGATGATGATGCAGCACTTCTGTGAGAGACTGGCGATCTAAGTGCCGGTATTCTATGTGGAGGAGTTTGTGGCTCATCTTCTCTTGTGATTTCAACCAGAGCTTTTGATGTTTCATCTTCAAGAATGAATTCTGCATCTTTGACAACTTCATCTTGATTCCAGTTCCAAGCTTCTTCTTCTACAAATATCACATCTCTACTCATGATCACCTTTCTGGTAATGGGATTCTACAACTTGTATCCCATTGTTCTATCTCCATATTCGACAAGGATATATTTTTCTCCCTTATCATCGAGCTTGATTCTTCTTGCTTCTGGAATCTTGGTGTACGCAACACATCCAAATATTCTGAGATGGTTGACACTTGGCTTATGTGAACTCCAAGCTTCTTCTGGAGTCATAGAATGAAGGCTCCTGGTTGGATATCTGTTCAACAAATACACAGCACATGATACGGCTTCAGCCCAAAATTGCCTGGGCAGTCCCTTTCCTTTCAACATGCTTCTTGCCATATCTAAGATTGTGCGATTCTTCCTTTCAGCAACACCATTCAACTGTGGCGTATAGGATGGTGTTGTTTGATGCTTGATTCCCTGCTCGTTGCAATAATTCTCAAAAGCATCTGATGTATATTCTCCACCTTGATCTGATCACAATGTCTTAATGTAGTAGCCACTTTGCTTCTCTAGAAAAGCTTTAAATTCTTTGAAAATAGTGAACACCTTCGACTTTCTTTCAGGAAAGTACACCCATGTCTTCCGGCTATAATCATAAATGAAGGTGAGAAAATATCCATTCTGTCCATTTGACATCGGCTTCAATGGACCACACACATCAGTGTGCACTAGCTCCAGCGGCTTTGTTGTTCTCCACTTCACTTCTATGGCAAAGCTAGTTCTGTGATGCTTGCCAAGAATGCAGCTTTCACAGACTTCATTAGTATGAGCAATATGAGGGAGCCCTTTTACCATATTCCTGCTTGACAACAACTTCAAGCTTCCAAAGTTGAGATGTCCAAACCTCAAATGCCATAGCCAGCCTTTGTCTTTGATAATGGCACTTAAACACTTTGCAGCATCATGTTGGATGTTCAATGCAAACATCCGATTCTTAGACATTCTTACCCGAGCGATCAAATTACCATGATTGTCTTTGATGGTAAGATGACAATCTTTCATGCTGATGTCGTATCCTTTCTCTAGGAGTTGTCCCATGCTCAAAATGTTGTTCTTCATGGCAGGAACATAATAAACATTGGAGATGTAATCATGATGTCCATTCTTGAGCTTGATCAGAATATTACCTCTTCCTTTCACTGGAGTCTTTGAAGAATCACCAAATGAGACTTGTGCTTGTACAGTCTCGTCAAGCTCAACGAACAGCTCTCTTTTACCACACATGTGATTACTGGCTCCCGAATCTAGATACTAAACATTGTTTTGGCTTTCAGTGTCTCCATGGTGAACAAACAGGACTGTAGGTCCAACTTTGTGTATTTCCTGCTCGGCGAAATTTGCATGCTCGCCAGCTTCTATTGTTGCTCTACTTCGGCATTCATTGTTGCAATGCCCGAACTTGTGGCACTGGTAACACTGAACATTGCTTTTGTCAAATCTTGGTCGGTTGTTGTAACCACCTCCTCTACCTCTTGCTCTTCCTCTTGGAGCAAAGTGTGGTTGATTTCTTCCTTCTCTGATTGGACCTCTTCCGCTTCTTCCTCAAAAAATAGAACTTCGGTTATTGTAACCATGACCTCTTCCTCGACTTCTTTGTGATGCTCCCCCTTGCTCGTTTCTTTCATCTCTGAAAGACAACTTTGATTGAAGAGCTTGCTCTAGAGAACTTGAGGGAGTCTTCTTGTTGATTTCATGAATCTCAAGTGTGCCCATCAACTCATCAGTGGTCATGGCATTGAGATCCTTGGGCTCTTCTATTGCTACAACCACGTGCTCGAACTTTGGACTGAGTGACTAGAGAATCTTCTCTATCACTTGAAGAGATTCCATCTTCTCTCCATATCTTCTCATCTGATTAACAATGGTCAATATTCTGTTGAAGTACTCAGAAATTGACTCATTCTCATTCATGTGCAACATCTCGAATTCGCCACGTAACACCTGGAGTCGAACTCTGATCGTCTTCTCAATTCCATGGTGTGAATTTCGAAGAATACCCCATGCCTCTTTAGAGGTTGTCGCTGCTGAAATCTTCTCAAAACTTGACTCATCAATGCCATGATAGAGTAGATACAAGGCCTTTTTATCTTTCCTCCTTGAATCTTTTAACGCCGTCTTCTGAGCATCATTTAAATTTCCTTCATCTTCGAGAGTTGCTGGCTCGTCATATCCTCGATCTACTAACTCCCACAAATCTTGTGAGGCTAGAAGGACTTGCATTTGAATACTCCAGTTTTCATAGTTCTCCTTGCTGAGTTTTGGAAACTGGGGCTGAAAGAAGTTGTTTGTGTTGCCATTGGTTGTCTTTAAAAATCTGTAAATTTTCAAAATGGAATTTGCAAATTTTGACCATGCAGATGTGTTCGGAATACTCCAAATAGTTGGAAAGCACTATTCGATCACCAGAAACAGACTCCGAATGGCTCAAATTAAGCCAAAATAAGTTAAATGGTTCAGATCTGCGACTGCACCTTAGCCGCGACACATTGGATTAATCCTCCGTGCGTTGATGTCAGTGGCTCAGTCAATGGCGGCTCGGTCAGCGGCTTGGTTTGGTCAGCAGCTCTAGTCAACGGCTTGGAGGCTCGGCTTGACGGCTCGGCTCGGATGACGTCGGCGTATGACGTCAGACTCTGGTGCGCGCGCTTGTGGCGCGTGTTTTGCGTGGGATCACGCATCGTCTTCCTCTGGGAGCGCGTGGTGGCACGTGGGCGCGTGGTGCACGTGAGAATGGCGTCAGGATGCGCGTGGGGTGCATGCGTGGCCGTCCGGTCTGCATTTTTGACGCGATTTTCACGGTTGTGCTCGTCTCATCGAGAGCTTCAATCTGATGTGATCAAAAATGGATTTCAACCACTTTGATTTCTGGGTAATTTTTGAAAAACACACTCTGTTCTTGAAAGTTTTACAGAATTTCTGCAAATTCAATCTAGCTTCGGCTCTGATACCACTGTTGGTGGGAGTGGGGTGCAAACCACAGTTGGTGATTCACAAGAAGAGGCTTAAAAACTGAACCAAACTGAAATTGAATTCACTCAAATATAATTCTGAAAAACAAACACAGAGCACTCTCCTTTTTCTTTTCTCTCACACTCTTAACATTCTTGATATACTAGCTATTTATAGATAAACTAGACAATGTAAAAGCATACAATAATATAGTGTGGAAGCCTACAATTTATGCAGCCATTTTTTACCTCCTACCAAACTTTCTTTCAAAAATGGTGGCTGTCAAACATGGTGGGTGGCTGCCTACCATCAAGCTTACTTTCAACATGAATGACATGGTGAACTGGTTAGAATTCTTCATCATCAAAAAATGTAGACAAAAACCAGGTGTTGGTAGAGTGAAATGGATATCATTGATGGAGATAATTCTTTAGCCAGTACATAAAATTCAGTAGCTAATGATTGAACATGCGACTAGAAGCTCTATTACTCTAGGATTCCAAATTTGCTAAAGTTGACCACAGTGAAATGCAGTTTTTTTTTTCTTCCATAATCGTCCAACATTTTGTGATGAGCTGTAGAAGGCATGTGTAACAAAATGGTACTGTTCAAGTGGCTGACCATTTCACTTTGCGAACACTCGGTTTCGTCTGCAATTTTTTTGATGATGAAGAACTCTATCTGATTCACCATGTCATTTTGTATAAGACTTGATAATAAAATCCAGATATGAAGTCATTTAGGAGTTTGGATTTATTAAAGTAAAAAACTTCAATTTCACGATAAAATCGATCCATTATCTGACTAATTTGGATTCATTTTAGTGATCAAAACTGTTTATTTTATACAATTAGCAAAGAAAATATGAATACAAAAAATCAAATTGATCCAACATCGATTGTCATACTATTAGACAATTTTTATCTATATATCCTACATATTTTTAAGAACAGACCGTTCATGTATTATAATATATATGTGATTTGATCATGTGATTAGTTATATCTGATCAACCCAATTTTCACATGCATGTTCTTTTCAACTTGTCATATGAAATGAGCAGTTTAAATTATTGAAATGAGTCCAAGTCAGATAATGGATCAACTTTATCGTGAAATTGAGATTTTTAACTTTAACAAATCCAAACTCCTGAATGACATCATATCCAATTTTTTTTTTATCAAGTCTTCTACTGAATGACATGGTGAATCAGATAGAGTTCTTCGTCATCAAAAAGTTGCAGCAAAACCGGGTGTTCGCAAAGTGAAATGGCCAGCCGCTTGAACAGTACCATTTTGTTACATTTGCCTTCTACAACTCATCACAAAATGTTGGATGATTGGGGAAGAAAAACAAAACTACATTTCCCTGTGATCATATGGTCTCAATTACAATTTCAAGTGCACAAAATCTGTTTACAGCATTGTTTACATAATCAAGCACAACTTTATGAGTCCCACCTCCGTGTAAGAAATGTACAATCCTATTATCTACTATGCACTTAGAAGAAGAAAAAAAAAACCAGTATTTTGGAGAATGCTGAATCCACAAGAATTTTTTGTTCAATGGTTGGTTCCACCTCTCCCTGTCAAATATGCAATCCCCACTTTCTTGATTTAGCAATTTTAAATATTTTAAGAAATGTATCATTTTCCAAATTGAGTAGTACTAGATGACAATCAATTTTTCTTGATGGTCAAAATTCATGTCAAGCTCACATTTTTTGAAAATTCCCCTTAATCTTCTCCATTGAACAAATGATCAAATCAGAACTCATACCCATTAAAAATATAAGCAGCATAATTGGAAAGTAATGGTAGCAAAGAGAGAATATTTTTCAGAAAACTAGTTTTTCATTCTTTATTCAGCATTTATTCTCAAAGGCTAACAGAAGATATGACTACGAAAAAAATATTGCTATAGTCTGTGAACAAAATTGCATGATCAGAAATTCTAGACCTCATATATGTCTTCTGGCAATACAATAAGTAAAAAGAATGGCCAAAAGCTAACATGTTCAAATCACATACTTTCTAAGGTTGTTTACCAGAAAAATTAGCAGATGAAGCAGAATCATAAACTATCTCTTGGAAAATTCTTGGCTGAGCTTGGCAGCAGCAACAACAGCATTCATGAGGATCCCATGAAACCCACCCTTCTCCAACTCATGAATACCGACAATGGTGGTACCACTAGGTGATGCAACATCATCTTTAAGCTGGCCCGGATGCTTCCCTCCCTTGCTAACCATAGATGCTGCTCCCAATACCTACAAACAAAGAATTTTTAATTGTTCCAGCACCATCTGCATATTGTGATTATTACCACAATGGCCATTAAAAGAAGGCTACTGGTCAATTTTTTTGTGAGCATGAATTCAGATACTCGAGTCATTTAAACTTTGAAACATCAAAAAAAAAAAAAAAAAAAAGGGAAAAAAAAAAAAAAAACAAAAAAAAAAAAAAAAAAAGGAATAGAGAAGAAATGTGGAGAAAAGGTTTTGAGAGAAAAACAGAGCCTAAGGGCTGAGTGATGTGAGAAACACATGCAAGAAGGGTGGGAAACATTACTTGCAAAAGTAGTGGACTTCCTGCGAATTTGGTTGCCTCCCGTCGATGGAAAGCATTCAAGCCCATAAAAGTCTCTGCTAATGTTAAGCCAATGCAGCTCTTGCCCTCTTTCAAGCCTTAAGTTACTTTGATCAAGCGAACGCTAGACCCTCCGGAACCGGGGGCAAGTAGGAAATAAGCCAACATACACAAGCAAAGGGCATATTGCCAAAAATCTTGCCAAAGACGGTCGCTGCGGTCGCCGGCGTCAGAAAACCGATGAATCAAACTAGGAATGTCTAGTTCTCCGTTGTGAACCAAAGATTGGGCATCACGTAAAGTGAGCCCACACATCCTTCCTAAAGCCTGGATGTGACTAAAACGAAACTGGGGCAAGATTTTCTCGTCACGCCAGGATTCTATTAAAACTTGGAACTCTTCAATTGTTGGACATATCTCTTGCCCCCCGAAGTTAAACACATGTGTAATCGGGTTCGAACATCTAGCCGTGACATGAAGAAACAGAAAACACAGTGGGGTACGACTTAGCAGGAATAGCGAATTTATCCCGAAACCCCAGAAATTCACTTTTTTTGAGCCATCTAAAGTTGTAATCCAAGTCAAGAGTTTTTCGGTGAAGAATAGCTCCATTTGTGGCAAAAACAGAGCTGGAATGAAGAAACTACGAAGTTCTAACTTTTGTAGAAGATAAGGTGCTGAGTGGATGACATGTGGTAGCAATCTGGAGGCCCCCTACACTGATGGCCGACTGGCCAGTGTGGGTGGCTGATCGGCCACTTTTCGTAGCCGACCGACCACTTTTGGTGGCCGACAGTCATCACTAAGTGGCCGACAACCCCTGTTTGTGCCCAGCAGAATTCCTTTGGTCTTTCTGTGTGTTGAGAGTGTTGAGAGCTTATGTTTTGTTCTGCTCTTGATGTGTTATGTTGTTTTGTTTAAGTAGTTTTGTTTAGTTGCTCGTAATTTGCTTCAATTTGTTTATCGAGTTGTTGTATTGCTTATCGAGTTGTATTTGTTTTGTTTATTGAGTTGTTGAGTTGCTTATCGAGTTATAGTTATTTTGTTTATCGAGTTGTTGCATTGTGCGTCAAGTTGTTTTACTTTGTTTGTTATGTGTTGGTCGGTTCATTACCTGATTAAGTGAATACCAATACATTGCACAAATTTCAAATCCCATTGCTCTTGTTTTTTTTTTTTTTTATTATGCAATGTGGTGTTATGCGATGCTCAGAATGTAAAATACAACACTTTTTTTGCCAAAAGCTGTTTTTCATTCCGATCATGGTTTCTTTTTACAAAGAGTATAAGTTTTTAAGAAAATAAAACTGCCTACAACTGTATAATGTGCTAACACTACTAGCAAAAAAGAAACAAAGCAAAATACAGAGAATCATGCCAGTTGTCTCAAGCTCTAGAGGCCCTCTTCGTCCTCTTCCTCAGTGGAGTGGACTCTGCAGAGCTGTCTCCATCCTCACTGCTATCTAAACCTGATGCTGAATCCGAACCAGAACCGATGTCGTTGTCATCCTCTGTATTAGAACCTGGCTCAGCCTCATCTCCACTAGCAGAATCTGAGTCAACATCATCATCTCTACAGCCTCCTCGATCTTGCTGGTCTCATCGTCATCGCGCATGATAGGCTCACAACGTCCCCCGCGACCACGTGCTGAAGCCTGTCTCTCTCTCCCTACTGTTGAAGAGGGCGCTGATGGTCCTGCTCCTGCTGCCACCGGTCCTGCCGATAGAGGTGGGACCTAAAAAGGCAGTTTGAATATTTCAGCCATAGTATGTGTATCAGATGCAACTATGATATGTGGAATGAGTACATGCAGAAGTCAAATATGGTGGGTGAATACAATGTGTCAGATGTGATGTATCAGTGCAGTATGGGGAAATGTTCAGTTGAAGTGTCAGTTTCAATATGCCAGCAGAAATATGATGACCGAAATGCAAGAGAATTAAAAATTACCTGAATGCTGTGGGAGCTGAGTATCACCTCCCTCCTCAAGATCATGCCCTCGAATGAGGCCAGCATGGTAAGCCCTCAACATAGCCTACGAGTGCCTGCAAATGCAATTTGGAATGATCAATATCCAGAAAGAATGTATGTTTGAGTATCTAAGCGAGAATGAGAAAAATGGAAATTGTAGTACATACCGGAGGTGAATCAGGTGTCCTGACGTATCGATGACTAGGCAATGAAGGCTCAATCAGAATCTGATAAGCCTCTCCAGAGTACCGCCAACCTGTCAACTCAGTCGGAAGCTCTGGCCAGCCGAAACTCTGCCTAGCGAGGGGCATCCCTCTAGCCTTGCCCCTCGGTGCTCGGGCCCTACTCATCAAAGGGGCATCTGTTGCTCTCCCTGTACAAGTACGAACAACCGTCAAGGGAGGCATGAGGTGCGTCTGAATGTATGTCGTGTAGTCCCCCTCTCCGAGAAAATAGTCTGCCTCTACATCTTGCGTAAAGCCAATAATCGCTTGGGAGAAGAGACTCTCTGTGGCTCGCATGGATGGCAGAAATGGCATGGGAACCGTCTGTAGTGGCAAACCTAACGTCTGGCACAAGAAGCGCTCACCTAGGAACCAAGCTTGGCCTACTGGTCCCTCAAGCACGAGCCGATAGCGAAAAACGCCCCAAGCATCGGTAAACTGATATCTGACACCCTCTGGCATCGTCACCTAGGGCTGCCACGTGATCTACAGACAACAAATGCATAGGTTGTTAGTTGCCATCAGATATGCAATATGAATTGGAGCTGAAAGCAGAAAGAACTGTGAGTTTTGAGTTACCTCTGCTGCCCTCACTATATCGAAATACTGGCGAAAAAATAAAAGGCTCTCTCGGGTCCTCGGCTGACATCTCCCGTCATACCGGTGAGAGTATGGCACCCCAAGAGGCATCTCGACCTCTGGCTCCAGAGCAAGCGCCGGAAAATAGGCATGCACCCATAGCTGTAAAAAGCAAGAGGGCGACAGTGAGTATACAACAGATAAACACAGATAATACGGAAAGCAACGTATGTGTGCTATGTCCAGAAAATACAGAATGCATAGGATACAAAATATAGAGAAAATACAAAAAGCAAGGTGTGTGGTACAGTGTATAGAAAGTACGAATGCAGAGCAGAAATTAGACTATGTGTGTGCGGTGTGCGGTGCGTGCAGTGTACAAAAAGTGCAAAGCAGAAAGCACGACAGAGAATGTAAAGCAGAAAAGTAAAGCATACCTCCTAGGCTCTCCAATAGCCGCCAACTCTGTTCCCGCTCCTGTGGGAGGTCGAGCTCATGTAGCAGTACAGAGTAGCGAGGCCAACGCCACCCCAGTCATAATGCCCGACCTGGAATAAGTCCACCAAAGCACTCAGAAGATATAGCCTGACTATGTTGGCCCTGTCCGCGAATAAGGTAGTGCCAAAGAGGAACATGAAGAAACCTCGAGCATACTGCTCAGTCTCCTCTCAGGTTGCTGGTGCTGTCCCTCTGTAGTGATCTGCAAACCAAGTGTACTGGACCATCCCTAATCGGAAGATAGGTGGGTGTGCCCCCAACAAATAGATCCAGGTGGCCTCCCACTCGCCTATGTCAGTATCACATGGGATCGGCTAGCCTCCTACCTCGATGCCCGTCAGCTGGCAAAATCATACGAGGTCCTCGTCATATCCCCGGCGGTAGAAAAATGAAAGGAATTGGTGGTATCCCACCATCTCTCGACCAGCACACTCTGGAGGGTCTTGCTCGCCATGAGGTACGGCAACCCTATGTAGAACAAACCAAACCCCGCCTCGTCGACGATCTGGCAGACACTGTCGGGGAGGTCCATGTACCACTCCCTCGCCGATGTGGACCCATACCCTCGGGTAAAACAAGAGTCTACCTGTGTTCAGAATGAGCAGAAGAAATACAGTGTGTACATGTGTTTAGAATGAGCAGATGAAATACAGTGCAAAGTTACGAGCTATGCCAAAAATGCAAAGTACGTCGTGAAAAATGTAAGAATACAGTGTATGCCTCGGAGGTGCCATGAGGCAAGTGAGACTTTGGCTCTCACAACAAGAGATTTGCTGGTGCGCCTTGTGCAAATCCATTGAAATAACGGACTGTACTGGGTAGTGATACATGTGCCTCGAGACGGTATCTCTCCGGGTCGAAAGGTCGGACTCTAGGCGGTAATGGTATGTACTTGGGATCTCCCTCTATCCCTGGAGGACCTCTATCGTGAGGAATGTCGTCTTCCATCTGGAAAGAAGGTGAGAAAGTAGGCGAAAATCAGCAAAATAGGTGAAAAATGCTAAATGCCAAAAGTCAACTCTCGGAGAGAGAAAATGGGAGAAAAAGTCAAAGCCCAGGAAAAGGCGTCAAACTCAAGACAAACTTGAGAGAAACAAACCTCAAGTGGTGAAAATGGAGAACAAAGCTCCGAAAACAAATTTCAATCAGTTCAAAACGAAGGAAATCAAGGGGTTTTAGCGAATCAATTTTGCGTGGGGCACTGGAAAACGCGTGTAAACCACGGATCTAGGGGAAAAAAGTGTCTAGGGAGGATGAGGAGGTATTTTCGACACTGTAGGTGTGAGAAAATGTGACTTGGAAAGGTGTATTTAAAGATCTCCATGCAAAAAGACCAAAATGGCTTGGATTTGCCACAACTGGCCGACCGGCCACTTTTTGTCGCCGACGGCCACCTTAAGTGGCCGACAAAATCTTCAAGTGGCCGACAGGCTTCCAGTGTGCTCCCTATATGTTTTTATGTTGTTTTGTGTCCTTGGCTCTCGAGAAAGTGCAAGAAAAGTTCACTTTTCAGCTCAAAGTGTCTCTGCGGAAGCTTCGAACCATGTCTTCAATGCATGACTCATCGTTAGCCGGCATGAACAAGGTGTATCCTTTTGAAATATATTGTAACTCCTCCAAGAGGTAAATCGGAGCTTGCAACTGAATCGGTTCTATTAAGGCACGTTCTTTTTACAATTACATAGAACGCACATTTCTTTATTCGGTGTTTTGCATCGAACATGCTATTAATGTTGCATTGAATATGCACCGTTGTTATTATGCATAAAATATGCATGTGTAGACGTCCCCGAACGTCCCGGGAGAAATCCCGTTTTGTTCATTGGGCTTACTACAGTTCGGACTCAAATGTCACGGTTCTGAATCTAATCCCACAAAGTGCAATGCGAGACCAATAAATCACCAAAGAGTCCAAATCCGGCAAATCGTTTTG